TCCAGATTCCTGGTAGCACACAGGCTGGTGGCCATACACAGCAAAGTTAGGTCACCTGTCCTGTTGTCATATTTATCTGGTTTGAGGTGAACAGGACCACGGTGAGATATTTATTTGATAAATTGATTAATCAGTTTATCCCCAACCTTTTCTTTTTTAATAGAAATCATTTCTTAAAAAAAATATTTTGGGGACTTTCCTGGTGGTCCAGTGATTAAGACTTCACCCTCCAATGCTGGGGGCTCAGGTTCCATCCCCAGTGGGGTCACTAAAATCCCACAGGTCAAATCATAAAGACCAAATCATAAAACATAAGCAATATTGTAACAAATTCAATGCAAGTGAATCTCATCTAAACAAAACAAAACACAAAATAACTTTCAACATAAGAAGATAAAATAACAATTCAAACAGATAAGTGCAAAGATATCGGACAAAAGAAGAAGGCAGAATGTGGAAGATGACCACCATTCCCATCAACCCTCATAGGGGTATTATCCACTGTCTCACTGTTCACTGAACCCAGGGCAGGCAAGGCACGCGCGGAGAAGCTAGAAGAACATGCGAGGAGCTATGAGAGCGTCAGACACGCTTTATCCATTAGTGGCTGACGCAGCAGCGAGGCGCAGACATGCTCTTTTCTCTCATGGCTGACGCTGACGCGAGGGCTTTCCAGGTGGTGCTTACATGGGTGTACAGGACAAAGGAGGCACGTGGCCAAGCACGCACATCATGATGCGTGTGCGTGTTGCCATCAACAGTCTCAGCTGTTACAGAGCCATGGAAAGTCATCATTTACAGAATGTGAACCGAGAGCGGGAGGACAGGGGTGACAGAGCCTGTCCATCACCATCTCGGCTAATTGCTCTTTCCCTACATCCATCTTTTAATGCTGAAAAAAGTAAAGGCCTGAATTTCCAACGTACACACCATGGGAATCCAGCCCTTCTCCAGTCGCCCCCCAGGGCTTCTGTGACCCCATCTCCCTCCTGGTTTCCTGCCCTAAAATTGATTCCTGCATCTGTTGAGTTCTCCTGCTCTGTAGAGGGGGTGGGGAACCCAAGACCATGCTCAGGCTTGAGGACTCACTATTGATAGAAGAGCTCCCAGTGCTCGGGGAAGCTGTTAGACACACAGTTACGGTTCATTTCCATGCATGGCTGTGGGGTGAGACGGGCGCAGAGTGAGGAGACAGTGCAACATCCAGAGAAAGCCCGAGAAACTGCAGGGGTCTGCTCCCTGTGGACGAGTGCGGTGTAACCATCCGGGGAAGCGCAGCTGACCCCGCGTCCAGGTTGCTCCGTGGGCCGCGGTCCCGGTGCCTGAAGGCTTACACGTTGAGGGCTTTAGTTCTGAATTTTTAGGATCTCTGTACCAGGCCTGTCTTTAGCCTTGCTGTGTGGTTCTCAATTTTTAGGATCTCTGTACCAGGCCTGTCTTCAGCCTTGCTGTGTGGTTCTCACCACTTCATCCAGATTAGGGAGCAGGTCGCATAGAGCAGAGCTTCCAAGCTGGGAGCAGCAGGTTAGGAATGCTCTTAAATGGGCCAAGATCCAGCATTGCTCTTCTAAATGGCTTATGGCACGTGTGTGCCAAGTCGCTTCAGCCATGTCCCACTCTTTGTGACCCCATGGACTGTAGCCAGCCAGGCTCCTCTGTCTGTGGGATTATCCAGGCAAGAACACTGGAGTGGGTCGCCATGCCCTCCTCCAGGGGATCTTCCCCACCCAGGGATCAAACCCAGGGTTCCTGAGGCTCCTGATTTGCAGGCAGGTTCTTTACCACTAGTGTCACCTGGGGTAAACGGCTTATACGGCTTTATGTTCTTTTATCCCAGGCCCTCTAGACTCACCCACACTCTTCAATATGCGAACATCCTCCATTTCTGCCTCTATGGACACAGTTTTCCTACCAACCTGGACTTCATCCCTTCTGCTGGAAAGACACTCAACAGGTGGGTGTTTTCAGGTACTGGTCTGTGGCCCAGCAATCAGGCCATGCTTCACAGTCAGCCGTTTAGAACTTGCTGGATGTTAGCCGCCGTGAGAGGAGCCTCACTGCTGGAGCTGGACGCGGGGTGGGTGCCCAGGGCCACTGTGAGAATTCTCAGGGTTGTCAGGTCCCCACATGCAGCGTTACACACGGCACCTCAGCCACCTCTTTGGTGGGTTTCCAGGGGCACCAACTATAATTTTGGCTGCAAAAGGAGTTATAGGTGACCTAGGATCATTTCTTTTAGTTTGGGAGATTCTAAAAGGCTTGGAAGTGTCTGCAAAAGAAGCTGGAGAAGGACTGGCCTTCACTGTTGACTTCTGTTGCTGAGGTGTCCGTAATGTACTAACAAGGAAGATGCTTCTCAGAGAAGAAAGTCAACAAGATGGGAAGATTATGTCTTCCTGGAGGTTCCTCCTGAGCTCCTAGGATAGGACAGATATTTCAGAAGAAAAAGAGAAGAACAAAAGTAACAGCTTTATTGCTGTTTTCACAGAATTCTGTTATCACAGAATTACGTAAGGTCTCTGTTTTCGAGCTTCGCAGTGCGGTATCACCATTTTTCTCGCATAGCTTTACAATCTCCCAGGGAGACATAGGCAACTATGATGATGTGTACATAATGGATGAGAAAACTGGAACATAGACTGTTTCATTTAAAAGTCCCTGATCAGCAATGAAAGTGAGAATAAGGCTATATTTACTCATTTCTAGGTCCTGAGAGCCACTTATTTAATAATAAAACAGTTTGCTATCCCCAGGAACTGAACACTGTGTTAGATGCAGGGGTGAGAGATAAATTTGAGCCAACAGACCAAAATATTCAAGCATGAAAATCAGTGTGAAAAGCTACAGTGTGGTGTGTGCTATAATATTGATGTATGCATCAGTTACTATTTACTCATTAATTGCATCTACAGAAATATGTGGAGTGAGGTGTGTGGGGTGATATGCATGGATGAATAGGGGTGATAGAGTACAAAGAATGAAATATGAGATTCCTGTCTTCCTGGACCTTGCAATCTGGTTAAAAAAAAAAAAGACATATTAAAGCACAAATACTTAATTACCATGATCATACAGTGCTGTAAAGGATGAGGACAGGACCTGCTGGGAAATTTCATGAAGATCTCAGAGCTGTAGGCACACAGGGGAAATTTGTGACTGTGGAGGATGCAACAGCATGACTGATATGAACTCTGTATTATTTTCTTCTACCTCATCAATATCATTTTCAATTTCTGAAAGAGACTGGAAAAGAATGGGACAGTGACCTGACCTGAAAATCCAAGGACCTGGGGTCTGACTCGCCACCTGGGGCATTTTAGACAAAGCATGAGGGATGGCTTCTCAGTCAGCGGAGTTCTCCAGGCAAGAAGACTGGGATGGCTGCCATGCCCTTCTCCAGAGGGTCTTCCCAACCCAGGGATCAGAGCCAGGTCTCTTGCGTTGCAGGCAGATTCTTCACCCCCTGAGCCACCAGGGAAGCCCTTGCTAGCACAGGGAACAGGTCTGACTGCTGCTGAATACAGACACGTGAAAGGTAAGGGTGTTGTAGAGAGGCAGCCTCCCATCACTGACTGCTCTTTGCACCTTGCTGGAGGAATCACAGCCTACCCATCCTCTACTGACTGCACTGCCCTCCGTGGGCATCCTGTGCGTTCCAAACATTTGGAAGGCAATGCCACCTGTCGCTTGCTCTTAATCAATGCTGTGTTAGAAGACGAGGAGACCCTCAACAAGGTCCCTGAAACGTATGAAGCTCTTTGTAGTGGAAGGTCACCCAAAAGACCACAAGCTCTAAAACACTTTGTCTCTTCAGAATCATGATGGCTCAGATGGTAGTGCATCTGCCTGCAATGCCCAAGATGTGGGTTCGGTCCCTGGGTTGGGAAGATCCCCTGGAGGAGGAAATGGCAACCCACTCCAGTGTTCTTGCCCAGAGAATCCCATGCACAGAGGAGTCTGGCGGGTTGTAGTCTGTGGGCTCACAAAGAGTTGGACATGATGGAACGCACATGCACAGTCCAGAAAACAATCTGTAACGAATTACTTTCTGGACTTGAAAGCATATTGAAAGTATAGGAGTCAGTCTTCATCGTGGTATGCATAAAAAGCAGATTCCACTACTTCTGTTTTGCTGACAGTGCTTCCCATTTGTGTTTTCTGCACTCGTCTTTCACGTAGCGGCTTCCAGTGCAATGGTTCGGTCCACTGGTGGGTGTGACGAGATCAGTGGTCCTCAGGTTTCATCCCAGAGGAGAATCACCTGGAGGCTCCTGAGGACAAAACCATGGAGCCATGTCCCTGGGCTTTGTGATTCGGTCAACCTCAGGTATGTGCTAGTTTAAAGGTGATGCTGACACTGCTGGTCTGGGGACCATACCCCAAGACACGTTGATCTAGACCACCTCCCACTTGCTGTGGCTGGTGTTTCCAGTGAGGTGTGGTGGGGACCACTCACTCCACTGTCTGCCACATGGACAGAGATACCACGGGCTGCACGGATTACCTTCCCCCAGACTTTCATAGTGACCCAACAAGAAATGTAGGCTCGCTGTTGGGGACCACCAAAGCATTTAAACAAACAAGCAAACAGAACCAATTCTTTGTCTTACAGATACATTTTAAATCTTAGAGCAAAAATAAATGACTTGACTTTTACCTAGATTTGCACTGATACGATAGAAGCAAAATTAATACTCGCTTGTGAGCACGGACACTCTCCTTAAATGAGTCTCACTGATATTGCCCACTTTAGCTTCACTCACAACACAAATGAGTATCCCAAATTCCAGATTTCTCTAGAAGAATATTTTTTTAAATTTTAAATTAAAAAAAATAATACTGAGATTGCTTGACCTGAATGGCATTAATAAATCAACCACACACCCTATGAAAAAATGTGTGGACTCGGGAGTTAAAACCTCACATTGCAGTATTATGAAGTCATGTTAAAACATAATCGACTCCACCCATTTCCCTCCTCTCCTAGGCTTCCGCCTTAGCTTAACAGGTGGCTTGCCAGCAGAATGGGACTCAATTGCTGAGAGATATTGCAAACAAGTCAGGATTTGGAAAACTAGCTGGCATAGGAAACTACTTCAGCTCGAGTCCCTCTGAGAGAGGCATGTTTCCACACACTAAAAGGTACATGCACGTATTATTTTTCTTATGCATTTTGATACTTTTCTTTTACAGAATTGCTGTGAAACTTTCAAGGAACTATATTTTGATTACTGATTATTATTATCATTAATGCTCAAATTAGTGTTATTTTTATAAGTTCTGAATTATATGATCCATGATGACAAATAGAATATTCAACACTCAGAAGTTTGACATTTAGTTGTTTTTTTTTTAAATAGATCTCTTTACAGATTCAAATCTTGCAGAGGTAATTTATATACTCATCATTGCTGTGTTCCAGATTCTATTTTCACAAAATACAGAAAGTTTTTACCCCATTCACTACTTTTGAACATATTTGTTACATTTATTTTCCAGAAAATTAAAGCAAGGAGGACAACTCCCTAAAAATATTGCTCCATTTAAAATTTTCTGAGACACCCTCTACTTTATTGTCAGCCATCAGATGGAACTACTTGATTTCTGCAGAACAAACAGAAAAAAGAAAAAAAGGGTGGACTGACTCTTGGGGAAATTTTAGTACTCAGTGAAGTAAGTCAGACAGAAAAAGACAAATATCATATGATGTTGCTTATATGTGGAGTCTTAAAAATGATACAAATGAACTTACAAAACAGAAACAGACCCCCAGACCTAGAGAATGAACTTAGGATCAACAGGGCGAAGGATGGGGGGGGGGATGGGATAGTTAGGGAGTTTGGTGTTGACATGTACACCCTGTTATGTTTGAACTAGATAAGCAACAAGGACCTACTGGCCTGGTACAGGGAACTCTGCTCAATACTAGGTAACAATCTAAATGGGAAAATAGTTTTAAAAAGAACAGATACATGTATATAGATAACTGAACCACTTTACCGTATACCTAAAACTAACATAATGTTAATCATGTATGCTCCAATATAAAATAAGACATAGAGAAAAAGAGAGAGGATAGGAGGAAGGCAGGTCCTTTTGACCATGGGCTGGTTTCCATCAGCGTCCGCTGAGAACAGTATCCAGGCTGGACAACACAAAGGTGTGAGCAAAACCCTCTGTGTCCTTGGATGGGGGTAGCAAGAAAGAAAGTGATCAGATCCCCTGGGAAAGCGCAAGTTACAACTCAGTCCCACCAAAGTTACCACTCGGGGCCTGAGAGTTTGTGCAGAGTCTGTGAAATGTGACAGAGGAGTTATTTTTCCATGAGAAAATACTGAATTGTGGGAGAGGAGCCAGAGGAGTGGAGGAGGCAAATATTTTTCCAATTTCAAAATTGGAAAAACGGATGCATTCCTGAGACCACAGGCCAATCAGTTCAACATTGATCACTGACAACAAGGAAGACGTGATTATTAACAGGCTGGTGGGCACGGTAAAAGGAGCAAGGACCACGAGATCCGGCTCAATTAGTTTCACAAAGAAGCAGCGTGTTTTCTCTTTGTGTTTAGTAAATTCACTTTGCTGGGTCCTGGCGACACAAGGATTAATGAAGAGCTGTACTTGAACTTCAGGAGCAAATTCTACCAGCATGTCAGACCCACCCCTGACTCCAAGTTTCTCACTTCAGCCCGGCATGGAGCTGTCTTTTTCACATCCCCGTGCACTTGATGAAATCACAGTTCAGTAGATCAGAACCCCCTTAACAATCTACACAAAGACTGCTACTAAATAATTGGTGTCAATCAAAGAGAAAAACCCTAAAACACATAAAACTGTGTCCTGTTCTTTATCATGTGCTGACGTCTATTCCGTGGTTTGGATCAAGGCACAAAACACATGCCTAGGAGATTTGCACATGACAGAACTGGGAGGGATCCCTGACAGAGCATCAGCAGGATTCAAAACAGGGAACTAGAACCAAGGAAATGGGATAACACTTCAGTGGGATTTTGGCTGACATTAGCAAATTGGTTGCCTTGCCCTCCTCCAAGGAATCTTCCCAACCCAGGGATAGAACCTGCATCTTTTATGTCGGCTCCATCAGCAGGCAGATTCTATACCAGCTGAGCCACACATGTAATCCCATGGCCGATTCATATCAATGTATGGCGGAAACCACTACAATATTGTAAAGCAATTAGCCTCCAACTAAAATGAATAAATTAAAAAAATTAAGTAGGGAATATACAGTTAGGAGTTTCTAGGAATTTACGGGCAGTGACTCACAAGATGCCCAGCAATCAGAGTTCCACACCTTACCCAGGTTGAAGCTCACAGGACCTGGGTTGTACTTACGGAAGTGCTGGGGTTTTGGTCCCAGGGGCATTGGGGACAGCGTCCATGCCAGGCCGGGCTGGCTTCATGTCCAGAGCAGTGTGGCTCCTGTTATCCAAGCACCCACAGAGAAGGCATGCTGTGAAGGGCGTAAGCCTGGGTGAGCGCCCACCCCAGCAGATGGAACCTGAACATGAGTGGAGCCGTCGGGGTGGTTCCCACTGTCCTAGAGGTCACAGTGGGCCCTTGGCCGTGCGCTCCGGTAGGAATCAGATCCTGGCTTTACTAGAAGCCACGTGCACCAAGGGGTGAGCCACGCGCTCCAAGGGGAATTCAAGCCAAGGCTGTAGGGCCATAGGTGACACCATGAAGAGTGGATTCTGCGTGGGGGACCAGCTGATTCCAGGCCCTTCCGGCCCTAGGATCCTCGCGTCCCTGGTCTGGGCTGGCCAAGTGCTCAGGGGTCCCTTCAGGGAGTGTGCACCAGTGAACACAGACACACACTCACACGCACACACACACACACTCACACAATATTCTGCTCAGAAGACAGCCTGGCGTGGAGGAAATGAGAGCCGTCTGAGTCCAGTCCCTCTCCTGTCTCTGAGGACACTTCCCTCAAAATACGACACTTTCCAAAGACAATTCAGCAACACAGCATCCTTTTAAAAAAAAATAATCAGAGTATAATTGCCTTACAATGTTGTGCTCGTTTCTGCTGAAGGGCACAGGGAACCGGTCATGTGTATACACATGTCCCCTCCTTCTGGAAGCCTCCCTCCCCTCACGACCCCACCCCACCCTCTAGGTCATCACAGGGCCCCTGCGCTATGCAACAGACCCCACCGGCTCTCTGCTTCACGCGTGGTGGTGTGTCTCGTCTGGCGTGTTTTTTACCCGCATTTGCTGCTGCTGCGCTCAGAGCTAGCCGGGGCTAATGAGACGCCTGGTCTGAAGCCGCCAGGCTTTAATGAGGCTCTGGTTTCACTGCAGCTCATTCTGTCGGTCTCACTGCAGCTCACCCTCTC